AAGACAATGGAAATTACCATTTAGGGTTTAGGGTTCGGAAAAATTGGCTGTAGCTCATATAGGGATATGATAGGGTCATCCCCGTCCAAGTAACTGTCCTCAAGGGGCGTGAATTCATGGGCGATTATAACTGCTAGCTCGTATGATTGTTTGTTGCTTAACTGTTACTGTCAGGGGGGATGACCCTAAACCCTCAACCCTAAACCCCTAAATCCTAAATCCAGGGGGGATGACTTAAGGGATGGTTGCGGACTGTATAAGACTACATAGGGTTTAGGGTCTACGTTGCGATTTCGGTTGATGGTTTAGGGTTTACATGGAGACATGCAGGGACTACATAGTGATAGGGGTTATGTCAGGATATATACTATATAGGGTAAGGGGGGAATTCAAAGGCGCATGGAAACTGCTATCTTATGCAGGGTTTAGGGTTTGGGGCCTAATACCTACCAAGAAGGACATTGGACAATGAAATAAAAATCCGGCTGTACATAGGGGATTATACGGATTGTCATGTAGAAGCTTAAGCAAATAATTGCGAGCATTGCTCTGTTATGTTTTGTCTTTATCTGTGAGGCTATCGTGGAAACATGCTCCAAGGTTCCGTTCTAATTAAACGGCCCCTACAGTCGGGTAGTTCGGAATAGTGCCCCTTTCTGACCTTTGCTCATCAAAGGGAAGGTACAGTAATTAGGAAGACCTCGTCCAAGACATCCTTACACATGAACGGTACGGGGTAGCAGATGACAATAGGGGTTCCAACCCTAAACCCTACATGAGGGTCTCTGAACCTCCCTTGGTTGAAAAGGGATGGTGTGGACACCTTATAGAGGACCTCTGATTACCCCTGATCCTGAGTAAGTGGACCCCAAAACATCTTAAAACCTAAACCCCAAACCCCAAACCCTAAACCCCAAACCCCAAACCCTAAACCCTCCATCATCAAAGGAGGTCCAGCCTTGCTGGGGCCCCGTACTTGGGGAAACCTCATGGAGCCCCAAAAGATGCTAGACCCGAAGCCCCGTTCTGGGAAGATCCTTAATTATATTGTACCCAAAGCCATATTCTATCTACTTCAGGGGGACCATATCCTTTTATTTGGGAGAGTAATATTCTATTGGTAGTGGGGGCTACAGTAGCGCAAGGGTGTAGTAGTTGCCATTTCTGCATTCACGACTAGCAACAGGTGACCCTCTAGACCCTCAACATCTATTTGTTCCCGCATACCCCTTGCTGACAATCCATGTTCCATTTCGATCTCCATTAGCGTCTCCTTTAGTACAGTAAGATCCCTAAACCCTAGACTGACCCTAAACGCTCACCACGCAACTAGGGGCCTGTTATAGTCCGCCTTAAGTAGATAGAATATGGGGTATATGGAGATCTTATTATATTATGCCCACAGCCATATTCTATCTACTTAAGCGGGACGACATCTTTTCATGTGTCCTCAGGACCAGCCCTGAGCTCGCGCTTTATTCAGCGACATACTGGACATTTGAGAACAAGCGCCCTGAGGAAGCAAAAGCCCAAACCTTCAGAACAGTCGGATTTGGGGATTTTCGGTTTAGGGTCCAGCTCCATGTTTGCACGTCCACTACACAAGGATTGCAGTATTTCTGAGGGTACACAAGAGGACCCCACTTTTGAGAAACAAAACATTCTACAGCAGCAGCAGCATGTTTGTAAGCATGGGATGTACGCAGACGCATAGTGATAATGAAGGCTACATGTATGCGTTTGACATAAACAGTGGGCCTGATACTTCAACAAATGCCTCGCCAAATGGCCATCAGAATGGGGACGACATGTTGCCTTAGGTGGATAAGGAATAACTGGAATTATGTTAAGGTCTTCTTATATTCCTTATATAGCACTATTACAGGGCAGGGGGTCGACCTAAATGATGCCGCACATGCAGGTACTGTACATGTTCTCAAACATTTCTACAATGCGATGTGGGTAATGTAATGTGTTGTATCGGGGGCCATTGTAGCCTAACTTATACAGTCAGATAGTATCCTACTCAGGGCTATTGTGCTCTACATAAAGAATATAATCTTACTTGGCTCAACCACAGAAATTGCTCTTCCTCTTGGAGTGCCTACGTATGGATGCAGATGCTGCAAAGGGTTCATGCATGTGCTTTTGGTCGTGTATGTGTGTGTGTGTTTTGTTTGTTTGGGCGCCTGTGTACGTATCTGGGCTTTAAATTATGTATCTGCAGATGCTATCTGCATCCTGGCCGCTTGTTGCAGCTTCGCCGAACTCAGAGAAGCGGACCATGCAAAACATGTGCCTGCCCAGCATGTCCTGTGCCAGTACTCGATATTGATCCAGAAGAGGACTGAAGCAATTACGCCAATGGTACTTCAAGGATGTCTTTTCTTAGCATAGACCATGTCCTCTACCAGATTTCTCAAAAAAACAACCACAGTTGATTTTAATGCATTTGCAGCGTCAAGAGGAAATAGGTGGCTTGAGCGAGCTTGAGCGGATGAGTTCCCTTCATTACTGCAGCCGGATGGTTGGTGTGACGCCAGTAAATGCCGTCGCTGTTTGAGCCGAACTCCAGCTGCAATGGTCATAAGATCCTGCATCTCACTTCTCCAAGAGTCTTTTTCTCTTATGTAGTCTATGTTAGTAGAAAATCCTCCGCGTAGCACAGGTACGTAGAACTGGACACGTTCACATTGCATTAGGGAGCGCAAGCCACATCCATCGCATCCCCTGGTTTGGTTAAGGAGGTGTGAACGTCATTGGAAGCCCTTTGGAAGCTCATGGAACTTTACCTGACTATTGAACCCTAAACATCAAACCCAAACTATTATTATGGAGAACTAAATGGAAAAGGAAATGGAAAGAGAGATGGAAACTACTATTTAGGGTATAGGGTTTAGGGTCAGGAGTAGAATCAAATGTGCAAGGAAGATGAAACATGAAATGGAAACTCAGATTACGTATGTAGTATGTGGAATATATGATAGTTTCCCGAAATAGCGGGATCCCAATATAGACCCCAAAATAACATAATCCTTCATATTGGGACTGCCCAGATGGTATCCCCCCCCCCCCCAAAAAAAGAAGCTTGCAATCAGTAGCGAAGTAAGGAAAACCCCAAGTTTCAACCAGTTAATACCCCATATTCCCCGACAGTTGTTCTCGTAGATGGCACTTGCGTGTCAAAATCTGCCTACTTGCAGGGTCAGGAGGACTTAGTGAGTAGGTTAAAAACTCCTATAACCCGTATAGTAGCCTGGTTATC